GTACTACCATTAGCGAAACCAGCACCAGTGGTGCTACCACCGAAGTTACTAGCACCACCAACCCGACTACCATTAGCGAAACCAGCACCAGTAGTACTACCACCGACTTGGCTACCACCACCGTTTTGACTGCCACCGAATTGACTACCACCACCATTTTGACTGCCACCGAATTGACTACCACCGAATTGACTACCACCACCGTGTTGACTACCTCCACCGTGTTGACTACCACTGTTACTACCACCGGCATTACTGCCGCTAGTATTAGCAGGAAATGTAGTTGATGGTGCATCGTCAGCATTCATATCAATAGATGATCGCATAGCGATATTATATGCTTCAACTGCTCCATAATCAATATTTAAATTAGGATCTTTGAGACCATCTGGAGTAAGAAGATTTTCAAGAGTTTGTTGAACTGCATTGCTAGCTCTTGATCTTAATATAAAGAAAAAAAAACGTCTCTTTCGAAAATTTACTTTAATAAAGAAAAAAGATTTACGATGTTCGTGGTCCTGTAGATTGACCTGTTCTAAAAACAACGAAATTATTTTATTGAAAGATTCTAATTCATTGAAAAAGAAAGTTACGGTAATCCTGCTGGTGTATTAGGTCTTGATCTTAAAAATAAAGAAGAATTTTATTAGAAAAAAAACTCAATATATTCAAAAGAAAAAATAATACCGCATTTGTCCGCCAGGTGTTCCAGATCTTGATCTTAGAATAAAGAAAAAAAAATTCTATGAATAATTCAATTTAATTTAAAAAAATAAAATATACCGTGCTGTTTCTCCGGGTGTTTCACGTCCATCAGATTGTACAAATCCAGGTTCAGCCCATTCACGAAATTCATCTCGACTTATTACACCATCATGATTAGTATCAGCTTGATAAAATATTGCTTTAACAACATCAAAACGTGTTTTTCCGCGAGCAGTACTGCCTCGTTTTGATCGAGTACCAATATTAGATACTGTACTTGCACCTACAAAGAAAAGAAAATTATTGAAAAATCTTTGTTAAAAAAATTGTTTTTCAAATTTTAAATTTACTGTGAAGGGTAGGTGATTCAAGTTCACCATCTTGTTGTTGTGAAACACTTGTAATGGCTGTCATTGGTGAATCGCTTTCACCGGCTGTTCCATACGATTGACGTCTAGAACCTGTTCCTAATTGACCGTTTGAAGCAGCGGTTCGTTTTGAAACAGCACTTTGTGCATCATATGGTATTCCAGTACCTACTACTGATCCTTGACTTTGAGATGGTGTTTGGCCCCGTTCGATTTCATCTTCAACACCACTCGTTACTGATCCTTGGCGTTGACTTCGTTGACTTCTATTACTTCGATGGCTTCGATGACTTCTTTCACTTCGAAATGTTTGTCCATCTTCTGATGTTACACTAACACCACGAGAACGTGATATTGTTTCATCAACTTCTGATGATGTAGGTGAGACTGCTGTACTAGATGATGCCATTGTAATTATTACAATCAATTAATACCACAAGTTGATTTTTTTGTTATGTTATCGTAAGATTGAGGCAAAGTGTCTATTGTCACTAGGAAAGTAAAGGGAAGAGAAATGAAAAAGTATCTGAAGTTTATAGTTGCTGTGAATCGTTCAAGCATAACCAACAATAAGGACGAGAATAGAGAAAATATAGAAAAATTGAAATGACATGCGAGTGCTTATCAGTCAGCACATGCAAGCATATCAAATTGAATATTATTTTGTCGTCACCGGTTTTAAATATGAAATTGCGATATTAAAATCATCTTCAAAACAGCTGTTATCTGTGTTTCTTTCACAAAATTGATTTTAACACCATATAATGATAAGAAAAAAACTGTTCACAAACAGAAAAATAAATTGTATATCGATAGATGTCATGAATATCCAATTCAAACTGTTACTTGTTATCAAACATAATTGAATGCTATATGAAGTCTCTATGCTGATACTCATCTGTGCGTTTGTTGGTTGATATGTGTATACGCATATTGCTGTATAAGCTACTCAGTATATTACTTCTCATTCCATCTTTCACCACTATCTATCCATGATATCTCTAAAAAATATAAACATGCAACTCAGAGAATAATAGACAAACGAATATCAAATATGTCACATATCGGAGTACTTCTTTTGTCTTTATGACAATTGTTAGCAGAGTGTGCGTATCTTTTTTTTATTATATTCTTTTATCTTCTGCTATGAGAATATAGCATAGGCCGTTACCCATATGCTGTAAAATGTTGCTAGTGACGTATTTTTCCTCTAATAATTTATTCTTTAATTTTTTATTATGTTGGTAAGAATGTAAAACATAATTTTATCGCATATGCATTGCATTGGATTTTTTCCCACCGGCTGTTTTTTTCGAAGTACAATTATAAAATGAAAAATGTCGATATTTTTTTGTACTTACCAAAGTCTATACATGCATATTATTTGCTTTTTCTTTCTTTTTTTTGGTTACAGTGTCAATTATTTCAATTTTAGATTGATAAACAATTATCATAAAACAAAAATGCAAAGACAATATATATTAATCGGTCTATTTACCATTATTTTCCTAGGTAAAAATCATTTTTTTAAATTACTGTTAACATTAATATATCTGTAACTAATATACCGTGTTATAATACTAACAAGCATGTTTTTTTTTGCATTAATTATTGCTTCTTATTTCGACCAACTAACCAAATGCTTCTATTTTTCTATAGTTATACCATCATGTGGTAATGCTTTACCTGACAACGGGCGTGTCCTAAGCGATGAGGAATATGATGATACTGATAAAAGTACGACACCAATTATCTTGAGTGCTAACGATGATAATACTACTACTACTGTTAGCACAACAACAACAACAACAACAACTCCACTAAGTAAAAATCGCTAAAAGCTCTGTTTGCGGTTAATTAATCTTCTTTTTTATTAAATGAAATGCTTGATTATTTATTATCTTACTGAATTTTATTTAAATCTAATTTTTATTTTTTCTCACTTAGCTACAACAACAAGCAATGTAACTGCTGATACAACTCCAACAACAACAACAACTTTAGAAACAACTATAACAGCAAGTACAATAACTACACCAACAACAACTACAACTATAACCACAATAACTACACCAACAACAACTACAACCACAACCACAATACCTTCTACTACAACAACATCATCAACAACAACAACAACAACACAATCGCCAACAACTGCTGCTCCTCCAGGTTTGAATATAATTATTTAATTTATTTCGTTTTCAAACAAATAAATATTTTAGGTCGAAAATTTGATGCTCTTTCATTTATCGGTGGTATGATTCTTGTAATTGGTCTTGGTGGTTTGATTTATCTAGTCGCACGTTATTTAAGTCGTAGCAATCGTTTACCATATTTAACTCTTTCAAATTCACGTTAGAAATGATTTTATAATCCTATGATTGAATTGAGAATAAAAGAAACTCACCGAGTTTTTTGATTTATTGTGTTTTTTTTTCGCATAAAGAAATGAACAGACTCCTTTTTGTTGATTTAGTTTCTATTTTTCGTTTATATGTTTGTATTTAAAAATATGTCAAACTATTGTTGTGAACTTGCTTATAGTGCGTTTTTTGTTTATTATTTTTTTGTTATTCAAGAAAAAAACCCAACACACCTATTCTTTTCAAAATTGCATATAAAATATGTATGCATAGAAATGATGATGATGATGATAATTATATACACTTTCCTTTTTTTTTTCTTCCTTTTCTATATTCAACGGTAAATTAAAAAAAAACAAAACAAAAAATATTTTTGTGTATATGCTTCTCATAATTATGTCATGTTACATCCTTGCCTTTATTTTCTTATTAGTTCTATATGTATCACCTGTAATGTTTGCCTATCTGAACATATCGATCAATGAAAAATAAGAAATTTTTGAATGTATTATTTTCATATAATTATTTTAAATAAAAGCAGAAAATATTGAATACCTTGAATGTCATGACAAGATAGTCAATTAAATAAACATGTTATTTTATATTTCTTTTAGAAAATAATAGAACAGTATAGAAGTTATATCAATTAACCTATCGAATGTCCTTGAATTATTAATCATTTGACTGTTGAATGTCTCACATTTAATATCAATTAATTTATTTTCTTGATTAGGTAAAATCAACAAATATCATGCTTTTTAAAGGTTTGATCTCAGCTTGAGTTCGCGTCTTTATCACAATATATGCACATCGTCCTTGATAGAGAACGTATCCACATGTGATCATGTGCTGCCGACAAACTGAAAATATATCCAACAAGAAAAATCAAGCTAAATCGTTGATCAATTTTGTTTTATAATTGCTTGATATTCATTGGAGGAAACGATAGAGTTGTAATAGGTGTTGATGATGAATTTAAAATTGATTAAAATTAAATATAATTTAGTTTTCGAAATGAGTCAGCAAGTGTCAATAAGAAAATAACATTGTCCCTAAAGACTTACAAAAATATGAATATGCTGTTCATTTGTACATTACGGTTCATTTAATGTATATCATACTAACACATGGTATTAAATAAGATATTATATTCACATATGAGAAGGTATTTGGAAAAATATGAGTCATCATCGAAATAAAATTCATTATAATTCTTTTCATTTTTGTTATAAACTTGTTCATTTCTTTGAGTCACTTGAAAAATAACTCAAGTGTATATGTTCTATTTAATATCAGAAGAAAGATGATGATAATATGAAATAATTTGTCGTTTGTCAGATTGCTCTCTTCTGTTTTGTTTTTTTCATCTCAACAATTCATGTCAAATGCGTGTACTCTCTCGATTAAGTACAAGGAATGAACAACACACTTCTTTTAAGTTTGATCTCTGCTTGAACTCCATGTCATTGTCGATATGCGCATCATTTCTTGATTGAAGGTGTCCACATGTCATCACATGTCGGCAAGGTGAACACATCCAAAAAGAAAGAAAAAATGAATTTATCAGAATCTTTGTCCTCTCTCTCTTTTAATTAAGGCTTATTATAAAAGGCAAAGATTTAAATCTTGTTCAATGTGAAATCAGACAAAAAGAATAACTTTGATATATCAATCTATCTTACAATCAGAATAGGAAATATCATAAATCTTGTTGATTATGCAAACTAATCGATATTTGTCTCATCATTTGATGAATATACACCTGCATGTATACATTTCACATAATAGAGATCACGTGAATGCATATATAGACATTCCACATTGATCTGATTCTATTGTAATATCATTATATTTAATCGTTTATCAAATAAAATTCTTTCTATTTCTTGTTTCTCTTCATTATTATTCGAAACGAGACGATCATAATCATCATTTGTATTCGTTTCT